CTGCCTCTTCTAACTCTGTAGTGTTCTAGCTTAAAAAGCAAACATTCCTTGTCCACTAAGTTGAAAGCTTTTTCTAGTAAATAAACACAGCTCCAGTAATCATTTGCCTATCCATATGTTCCAAAATATAATCAGTTAGGTATATTACCACAGTTTCAGTAGAGTGCTTATGATCAAAACCAAGTTAAGTTCTAGTAAATAATTCAGCATATTATTCTTTGTAAGGATGCCATTTTCATCAAAGCACCTTATACATGCTTATAAGCACATGAGGATGCCATACTCAGGGGCGGATCCAGGGGGAGGGTGGGGGGTGCGCACCCCTCCCCCCCCGAGATGACCTGCGGTTTCCTAATACAACTGGTGTTCTGCAAAAAACAAAAAACTATGTGGTTTATTGGTGTTGAAGTAGAGCAAGAGACGAGTGCACCCCCTCCTAAAAAAAATCCTGATCCGCCCCTGATACTGTTGACACCTTCTACCCAAATATCCGTCTTTTTAACACACACTCTATTTGAAAATGTAGGCAAATAAGTACAGTAAAAAGCAGTGTTCCACTAAGGGTTTGAATTGTGATTACATTTATGTTTCCGCTGTAGGTCCATTACTGTCAAACTCAGAAAACCGTGAACGCCTGAAAAATTTCGGGAATGTTGATTGTGTAATGGCCAATCACAAAAACCCCGCCCGAGGAGGAGCAAGGTTAAGATTCCAAAGAAGGCGTCGTTTAATCACAGGCAGGCCGTCCGAACTGTTCGAGGCATCGTGATGTCACGTTGCGTCATCCCATTACGGCTTTCCTCAAGTTCCTCAAGTTGTTTTCCAAAACGTTTCCCGTAATTTCCCAAACAGTTGCTCAGAAGTTGCCTTATTGGCTCATTTTTTCGCAATTCTTACAATAACATTCCATAAATATTTCTGGTGTTCACGGTTTTGTGAATTTGACAGTAAGAACCAGATATCTCCAAGGCAACACTGCCGAAGTATTACCTCTTTAATGATCGGGGTGTGTGGGGTGAGGGAGGTAGTGTTTAACCCTCATGTTTAAATTCAGAGAGCTCAACGATAGCACATAGCAAGTCTTTGAAATGATAACTTTGGTAATTTCCATAAAGGTAACCCCTTACTTCTCCCCTCTTCACCTTCCTCGCGTCAACTTTAGTCTGATTTAACATTTTATCAAACATTTTCGCACAATCATGACACTCTCCTATCTCTTCACCATCAATTTGAAAATTGGGCCTTAAATGGCCCTCAGTAACATGTTGCTCGCACTGCCACAGCCTCTTACTTTCATTCATCAGCCAAAGCAAACACTCAACCATTCCCATAAATTCAGGATATACGTTATCCAAAACAGTTTCTAGTCGCTTAATCCTTTGCTCCAGGAAATATTGTAAGGTTTCTTGATCAAGACCCTTTAAATCAACAATTTCACTTAGCGTCGTCAGCTTCAAATTCTTGAGGAAGTCGTCGCACTCGTCTCGGACACGGTCAAGGTTGTAATTCGTCGCCATCTTTCGAAGTTTCATCACACTATGTTTTGTCTTTGGGTGGGTTTCAACGAAATTGATGCAAGCATCAAAGATGTGTTTGATCTGGTACTCGTCGCTTAGCTTTAGAAGATGTTCCACGTTTTCTACAGTGATTTCCACCGGCTCTTCGATAAACTGCTTGGAGTAAACACGCTTTAAGATGTCCAGTATTTCATTTGCCTTTTTCTCTGGCAATGGAATCTCGTTAGCGGTTGCTTCTTTGAACTGCGATTTGAACATGGCCTTGAACACTGGTGAGTTCATGCTCAGTATGAGGCGATGAACATGAAATTTCTCATCCTCCACCACAAGAATCAGGTCGCTATCTTCCCACGGTTCTGAAAATCGCTGCTTCGTTCTTCCTTTGTCATCTTCCGAACTTCCATTGCCTTCACTTTCGCTAACTTTTGTCACACCGGGCTGACTAAGAACGTTGCCAAACAGTGCCATCGAGACTAATTACTGTTACGGTACAAAAGCGCTTGTTACGAAGAGCAGTAGAGATTACTTGTTATCTTTGAAGGATAGAAGAGTCACGGTTGACGTCACAGAGGTCATGTTGCGGGTTGGTAAGAACAAAAGCGCCTTTAAGCCGGGATCGTTATTTAGAAAAGCTGCATGTGGCTGCATCTTCTTGCGAGCAAGAACAGGGAAATTTTCCTTTTATTTCAACGAAATTCATAGGTGACGAAAAGGAGGCTAGTAGGCATGATTCTAGAACACCCGTCCACTCACAGCCGGGGGGGGGGTTGGGGGGCTAGTTCAACTGAATTTTGCTACCCTATACAAGAGTAAACTCCCCAAATCCCCCCTTTCCTAGAGCAGCTGTTTTCCAGAAACTACTAAGGTCACTAGCACAGTCTAGCCAAAACAAAACCTTATACCACAATCCCTAGTCTAGATAAAATCTTCAACCAACTGATCAGTTTCCTGAAAAATGATACCCTATTCTAGACCCAAACGCT